TTGCAGTTTTCCAAAGGATGCTGGTATGTAGTTTATGTGAATGGTAGGAAGCCAATGGCGATGGATGGACGAAGGAAAATAAAGTTTCACAAATGTAAAAAAAGGAAGAGAGTACGAACAGAATGAAGCATGAGTCCTTGTTAAAAATATTTACAATAACAATATATGGCAACACTACCTGAGGGAGGCAATGAATGATTTGTATTTAGCGTGCGAAAGATGGTAAGAGGCATTAATAATAATAGATAAGTGGTGTGATGTTAATCATGAAAATTTAGTGCTCAGTGTTGTCTAACTAATATGCATGCCAAAATGTAATGAAATGCTATATAATTTTTAAATAAATTAAATTTAATGTATAATTTGCGTTTTTATACAACTAATTATGAAATACGCACTAGATCTAACGCTTTTAATTAATTACAACAATAATTTATTCTCAGCATTTTTGTTCATAAGACGTAATCAGCTTCACCCGTCGCCGGTGAATAATAAACCGTCGGACCAATGGCAACAATCTTTCCTTCACGCGGAATACTTTGGTCGTTGAGGTTGGTTCTTTCGAGAGCATCTTTCAAATCCACGCTAGATGGAATGGCGATCACCTTGGCCCCCGGTCCAGCAATGGTCAGACTTCGTGGATGTGTAAGCGCAAAGCCACCGGGGCCCACAATAGCGGTGCCACCACTACCGGCGGTCGCCACACCGCCAGGACCCGCAATTGCGATTCCACCCTTTCGCACCTTCAAGCGTTGAATGATAATCCCGCCCTGCTTGATAGCTTCCATTTGTGTTGTTTGCTCTGCATTGTGTCGGTTGCCAAATATTTGTTTCTCCTCATGCTCAGCGGAACTGTCCTCTTCATCCTCTGAAGCACTGTTACTCGATTCGTCACTCCAATGATAGTCACTCCCTTTCTGCGGCGGTTGTTGCGGTTGTCCGATAACCTCATATAACGGTTGTACTGGCTGGTAGGCCTGTGTTGTTAGAAAAGGCTTGGGTGGCATTTGCAAAAATTGGTTTGACTCGTGTGTTGCCGCACTCGCATCTGGTTTGTTCTCCTGGCGAAATGGGAATTTGAATATATTTTGGAAGGCATTTTTTTATCGCATTGCCAGCGGTAGAATTCTTTAGGTCAACTGGTCGAACGACGTTAGCAAGGTTGGGGATATTTAAGGTGCCAATATTTGGCACATTGTAAATATTCGAGTTTTGATTTGGGCTATTGTTCACTATAGGTTTACTATTGGTGTGGGTGTTGGTGTTTTGATTGGTAGCCGCTGGCTGGATTTGCTCCATCATTTCACTGACGCTAGGTTCCTTTTCCCTCAGCGGTTTAGGTATAATGCGTTTTCGAATAATTTGCGTTGTAACATTCGCACTTGAACCTCCGCCATTGCTGCTACTTGTTGCTGTCGTTTGTATTTTATAAGGCCTTTGAATGCCAATCACCTTTTCCTCCCTCGAACTATTTTCGGATGATTGCTCCTTTGCTTTTAATTTTATTTCAGAGCTTTGCGAATCTTCGTTCAACGCTACCGCGCTCGGTAAAAAAAAATAGATGGCTTTTAGCTGGGTATTTCGATTTTGAATCTGTCGATGACTTGTTCTTTTGAATAGCTTTGCCATAGAAATCGCCAATATCACCGACAATTTTATATCCCTTCATACGATATTCTTCAGGTGCGTTCATATGAATATACTCATCTTTACTGAGTCTGTAGAGACGTACCGGTATTAGGAAATGTGTACGCAATTTAACTTGTTTGTCGATTTCTGGCAGTGTTGGTTGGGCTGCCTGGTTCGGGTGGAGAATGTGTGTATTGTATTTTGTTTCAATCTTTTTGGCGTGGTGATGCTTGGGCGGAGCTGCATCGAAGGCAATGGATTTAGAATTTGTATAGGGAGTAATGTATTGACTGTGCAGCGGAACGGATCTTATAGATGGAATTAGTATTGTCCCGCCATTCATGCCAGATGTTTGATGATTTTGCTGATGGAAGGGTTGCATTGCCGGTTTGGGAAACAGATACTGGCTTGAGTCCAGAATAGGTGGAAGCTTGGACTGTTCAGGTTGTTTCCGAACATAACCCAATGCGTGGTTAATCTTCTCTATTTCTTGCAGGATGCGTTGAGCCTCATCAAACTTGGCCACTTCTGTGTCGGAACTATTACTGGTGGGATCCGTGCGGGACGTCGAATCTTCATCAGGGAATTTCACCAGTCTTTGTTTTGCGATTCTGCGAACGAAAATTGCAAGCAATGGGTGGGAACTTATAAAAAACTAAGAAGCTGAGAATAATTCTAACAATGGTTTGTTGGTTGGTGTAAAAACAAATGCCCTTTGATAAGAGTTAATTTGTACGAAGTATCGTTTAATTATTGTCGAATATGCAC